GAAATTCATCTAAACCAAGTTGATTAAAGTTCAAACTGCGGGAAGTTCTTAAGAAGTTTGAAGCCTTAACTAAAGTGCTTCAGACCCTCTCAGTTATAATACCCGGCGGGCGACTAACCTCCACTGATGTAACCTAACCAAGGCAATGAGGTTAAAACTTCCTCTACTGGGTTCTAAACCAGTATAGAGCAGGAATCGACTTCCCGACTAAGGTCGCCAATTCACTACTTCCAATTCAAGGTGCTCTATTGACCTATGCAGAGATTATCATTCTAGGTCAAAGCAGGAATTACTAGAATGTGATAAAGACTCAAGTAAATCAGAGAAAGTACTTCAATTGGATAAAAATCAATCAATCATTCAAGGCTAAGGGTTCATACAACCCATCCTAACATACAATCTAGGGTTCTTACATATCCAAGTGAAAGAGGAGGGTTACTCCATATAGAGAGAATGGAAAGCCATGCCAGATGTGGAAATCATCGTGTAGACAGAGGAAATCGGCACTAGGTCGTCAATCGTCTCTCCAATGGTGTGGAACTTGATCTAGGGCACTAAAGGATCTCTCTTCATTATTTTCTCTCTCTAACCTCTATTTCTTGCTCTAAGACTTGCCCCAAAGGTTTTTCTTCGTCAATCTCTCTATAGGGTTCTTTTTTGCCTTTAGAAGTCCAAAAATCGGGGGGTCCTTTGCAAGTCCCCCGAGAAGCCTTTAAATAGGCTGAGAATTTCTGAGTTACGGCCTAAGTTACGCCCGTAACTCACCTTGACCGCCCATAACTTGAGGGAGAACGACGCCATTATTGCAATCCGCAAATCAAGAATTACGGCTTCCTTTGGGGAGTTACGGTCTCGACTGCAACTTGGAGAGGGAGACCGTAACTCCAAAGTTGCTTATGGAACTGATGTCGAGGCTTTTCATGAGTTACGACCTTGACTGTAACTTGAAAATTCAGCCTGTAACTCTTAAAAGCTCCTGGAACTTCTCGTTCTCCACTTGCAACTTACGACTCCTCTTGGGAAGTTACAGGCCAGACCGTAACTCACAAGGTCTGGCCGTAACTTCTAGCTGATTTTTGTCCTTCACTCTAAAATGTCCCGAAACCTCACTCCCTCGCGCCCATTCACGTCCTATTCCTGAAACATCATAAACTAACACGCACAAGCGTAAAATAGGTCACGAGAGCGAGAAACAGAGCTCAAACGATCAAGAAATGACGGGAAAAACATGTTAGAATATGGCGTTATCAAACACCTCCATGACATCCCCGAACATGGGGTCGAAGATGGAGAGCATACACCTCTGGAATGTGGCGGGGGTATTACAAAGCCCGAACGGGACCTCCGGTAGGCAAATGTGCCGAAAGGACAGGTGAAGGTTGTCTTCACCTGGTCTTCCGGTGCTATGGGAATTTAAAAATACCCGGACATCCCATACAGGAAGCAGTAAAACTCGTGCCCCGCAACCCCTCGAGCATCTGGTCAATGAAGGGTAGACGGAAGTGATACTTTCTTGTGGCGTCATTGAGGCGACAATATTCGATGCAGAAGCGGTACCCAGTCACCTTCCGAATCAGAATGAGCTCATTCTTCTCATTTGGGACTACGATCATCCCCCCTTCTTAGGCACCACTTGAGTGGGACTGACCCACTCACTGTCAGATATGGCGAAGATGATACCCGCGTCCATCAACATGATAATCTCTGCTCTGAACATGGCCTCCAAATTTGGCGCCAGCCTCCTCTGTGGTTGTCGCACCGGGTGAATCTCATCCTCCATCAAGATCCGGTAGGAACGGAAAGAGGGACTGATCCCCCGAATATTAGTGATCTTCCAGGCGAGAGCTCGCTCATACTTCTTCAGAAGTTCCACCAATCTGGTCTTCTGCTTGGGTCCGAGGGTTGAGCTGATGATGACTGGTAGCTTATCCCCTCCCGGAGAAAGGCATACTCCAAATGAGGAGGGAAGGGCTTCAACTCCAGTTTGATGGCGCCTCCAAAGAGGTGAGGGTATGGGTCGATGCAGAGATCATCTTAAATGGCTTCTCAACCTCCAGGAAGTCATCACGGTCTAGTGATGCCAAATGCTCCTCCAGCTATAGCTCCTGCGATGCCTGCTCACCTAGCAAAACACAATGCTCAAGAACATCGTCAGGCCCCACACTCGTGATAGCGAGTGTGGTCTCAAAAGTAGCCACAATATCACAGTAGTCCAAGTCATCATGCAGGTGGGAATGTTTTGCATTATCGAACACCGAAAATGTAGCTTGCTCATCCCCAGCCCTCAAAATCAACTTGCCACTATGCACATCAATTAATGCCTTGGCGGTGGCGAGAAATGGTCTACCCAGTATCAAAGGCAAATGCACATCCTCATTGTTATCCAAGATAACAAAATCCACAGGTTATGTGAATGCACCCACATTAAAAAAGCAAGTCCTCTATGATACCCCTAGGATGCAAAATCGAGTCATCAACAAGCTTAATGTTCACCTAGTCCTAACTTCTTAAACAGTTTATAGAGCATGACATTAATGCTAGCGCCTAGGTCCGCCAAGGGCTTTCCTACATGCAGGCTGCCAATAACAAGAGGGATAGTAAAACTCCCTGGGTTTTGCGCTTCTCTGGCAGCTTGTTCTAAAGGATTGCAGAACAGTCTTCGCTCTGCATCACTGTCGAGAGATCCCCCAAGTTTCTTCTTGTTTGTGAGGAGATCCTTCATGAATTTTGCATACTTGGGCATCTTCGACAGTGCCTCCATGAACGACATGATGATGTTGACCTGGTTTAACATTGCCATGAATTTGGCAAACTTAATCTCCAGTTGTCCTTGTGCATGCGAGTGGGAGGGAAGCTGGGGAACACGCTTCTTAACCATTGGTTGTGGCTTGGGAGTAGGTGTTTCCTTCTCTATCCCCACCTCTTCATCTTTAGATGGAAGTGCTGAAGCAGGTGTTGGTTCCTCCTGCCTGGCCGGAGCAGGTATAGCAGACGTCGTCTTGCCACTTCTACTAGTGATGGCATCTAACTACTGGTGTGGCTCGCGTGGATTTGGGATGGTGTTGGCAGGTAGAGTTCACTATGCCCTGGGGCTGTTGTTTCGAGCTTTCCTCCAATCTGATTCTTGAGGTCCTGCAAAATGGCACTCCGGTTTCTCTGGCCTGCCTCCAGTGAATTGAATTTCCCCATAGAGAGTTCCATGAACTGCTCCATCCTGGCAAACTTCTCTGTGCTGGTGCTCACGAAAGCCGTCACCATATTTTTTAGCTCCGGCATCTGGTCACCTAGTGCAGGGGCTGTTGTCGGCTATGAGAATGGCCTCTGCTGCTGCTGGAAGGCTTGCCCCTGTCTGGGGTGAAACGGCTGCTGCGGAGATGGAGGTACTGTTGCCTCTGCGAAAAACCACCAGTTGGTGCTGTGAAACCAGGGGGCTTGGTATTGTTGTTGTTGCCACCACTCCATGAGAAATTGGGATGCTGGCGCCATCCCTCATTATATGTATCGTTGTAAGGATCGAGGCACAGAGCATTAGCGATGAAGTCCAACTTCTCCTGGGGGGTGGTGGACTCCCGCATAGCTCGAAAATCTTCAACCATATGATTGGAGCTTTTGCACCACTGGCACTGGGCTACTGGAGATGTCTACATGCCTCTGCCTAGTATGAGGCTATTAGGCTGCTTCAATGTCTGAACCAGCTATGCCACCTCTCGCTCAAGCCCTGATCTGGCCACCCTGGCATGCACACCTCTGTCGCGAGAGCTCCTACCTTCGTTGATCTGCCACCAAGAATGATCTCTGGCAGCCAAAATACTGATCATCTTATTCAGGTCGGGGGATTCTTAGTGAGAATGTCTCCACCCGCACATAAAGAGTCAATCAATATCTGACTCTCCGGAGACAGAGCACTATAGAAGTTCACCACAGTGAATGCATCACTAAAGCCGTGATGGGGACACTTCCAGAACAGTCCCGAGTGAAAATTCTCAGAGACAATATGGAAAATAGGTTTAGAAATGGGAAAGACAGATCGACTGTGAAGTCACGAGAGGAGAAAGGAAATGAATCCTTTGACTAGGTCTCGGCTGATCTCTCCAAAGATATGGGCCGAACTAGACTTAGGGCCCAAACCGAAATAAACCAGATCACTTACTCAATTAGCCCAAACCTATTTTAATACTCAGCAGTGGCACAGATTTGAGAAACAGAGAACTCAAGAACAGAGGAGAAGCAGAGTTTCTCCAGAACTTCAAAACACCAGACTGATTATGAGAAGATAAAGGAACACAAGACACACGACGTTTTTAACGTGGTTCACCCAAGTGCGATGGTTACTTCCACGTCCCAGAATATGGTCTGGGAGGCCTTTTATTGGTTTTTCAATTTTGACAAAAGAAGAAACACAGAACGCACAAAAAAAGAAGAACAAGATACGAAGAACAAAGAACCAGAAAACAATAAATCCAGATCAACCACTGATCTGTATCAGCCTTGATAAAAGTTGAACCTTTGCCTCAACTATTTATCAACCCTTTTTGTAACCCTTCCGCCAAGTCCTTTGCCACTCAAGCTCTTTCAAAAAGGTGCCTGTACAAGTACAGGGTCAGCCAAATAAATAGTTCCACGACGAGCTAGCCGTTGGGAGCAGCTAAGGAAACTCAGTCAAGTTTCCTTAAGAGGATTCCTATGATTGAGCAACGGTTATGAACTGCAAGCTCAGACTTTCCACAATCCCTTCTACAATCTCCCCCTAAGTCGGAGATTGCAGATTGCTTTATGACCTGCATTAACCAAACAACCTTTCCACACAGGATCAAGCAGCACAGTTCATAACATAGGAAACACAAGTCATAATCAAGAAGCAACACAATCACTGAGTTCAGCCAAAAACAACCATCCCTCACAGCAAAAACAATACGTCAGGACAAACAACGCAGTACTCCCCCTGAGTACAAGAAACAAAGACAAACGATCCACACGAGACAAAGGACACTCAGACTAGACTAGGGATCTGAACTATCTTCAGAAGACACAGGATCATCCAGTGCAGCTGCCGTGAAAGGTTCGAGGTCAGACTCAGAGCTTGAGCCATAAAGGTCTTGGAGAGCAGCTGCAAAAGACGCAATAGGAGCTTGATCTTCTGGTGCTTCTTGTTCTACAGAAACTTCCCCAGCAACAGCTTCATCTTCTAGTTCGGAGTCACTGCTGATCCAGTGGACAAAAGGGTCATCATCCTCCCCCTCAACTGCAATCCCTATTTCGTTAAGGACTTCATCCGCATTGAGCCACAGAGTCGGAGACTCGGTACGATAGGCTGAAAGATTTAGTGGCAGCGCAAGCAGAAGACGAGTAATCATGGCTCCAAAAGGGAGGGGAGCATGGAAGTTATGATCAATGAAAGGGTGAAGGGCTCCGAACAGCAGATGGGAAAAATCTAAAGGTACAGCAGCCACCGCATGGGCGAGGATCCAGAGATCAAGGGGAATGACTCTATCAAGAAGGATAGAACGAGGGAGGAACACCCTAGTGAGCAGATAATGGAAGGTTTGTAACGAGGGTGAGAGGAGGGCTGAGGAGAAGGTGAGGTCATGATCAGATTCGTGGCCAGTAAGGTGAATAGCCTCTGTAACAACATTGAAGTTGAACATAGGAAGTTCAGCAGGATGAGCAAGGGCTTCCCCAAAAGCAGGGATATGAAGAAGGCGACGAAGATCATGAAGGGGATGGGTAATCATGTGGCCATGAACAAGGGATGACAGAGTGCGAGATTGAAGGCCAAAATACCGAAGATTGGAAAAGAAACATCTTACTGCCTCAGGACAAATGATGGTAGAAGACGCTTCAGGTGAAAGCAAGAACTCCCAACCTAAATTCTGAATGAAAGGCAGTACATCTAACCCTAGAGGAACAAAATCCGGGAGATGAAGGACAGTGGCAGGGCTGATGGGATGGTTGGCGAAGGACTGAGAGTGGCGATGATAGTTGGCAAGGACAGGCTCATGGAACCAGGTTCCAGAGTAAGTGAGGGCGAAGGCATAAACCATGATTGACTCTGGAAAGACACTTACACAGGAAACTAAGAGGAAAACACTCAAGACAACTCGATGAAAATTAACACAGGGAATAAGAAGGAATAAATAGACTCAGGACAGAGCACGAAGAAGGAAACAATCAAAGAGCAATTAAGACACATAAAAAGGAAAGCCACACACATCAGAGACGAAAGGAATTCAAATCAAACAAAACAAGGAAAGCAAGAAAAGAAAAAGGAAGCTTACAGAACTAAGGTTCTGAGACGGAAGAAATAGAGGAAAGAGATCGCAAACCGATTTCAAAACAGAGGAAGTTGAATCGATCTGCTAGAAGAGGTTTAGTAAAGATATCCGCAAGTTGAAATTCTGTGCTAATGTATTGCAAATTTATGATTCCAGAATTAATCAAGTCGCGTATAAAATGGTACTTAACATCAATGTGCTTAGTGCGAGAATGTTGCACAGGATTTTTGGACATGCATATAGCACTTGTGTTATCACAGAACAATGGAATAGAAGACTGTGTTATGCCATAGTCTTGAAGTTGACTTTTGAGCCACAATAGTTGAGCACATGTGCTGCCAGCAGCAATGTACTCAGCTTCGGCTGTAGAGAGAGCAACAGCTCCTTGTTTCTTACAAGACCATGAAACTAATGAAGTACCTACGAATTGACAGCTACCTGAGGTACTCTTTCGATCAACCAGACTTCCAGCATAGTCAGAGTCGCTGTACCTCATTAGATCAAATGAGTCATGTTTAGGGTACCATAGTCCTACATCCATAGTACCTTTGAGGTATCTAAAGATTCTTTTGACTGCTGACATATGACTTTCCTTAGGATCTGACTGAAAGCGAGCACATAAACATACACTATGTTGTATGTCAGGTCGGCTGGCCGTTAGGTAAAGCAAAGATCCTATCATCCCTCTATACTTTGATTGATCAACTGACACACCAGTTTCATCTCTATCAAGTTTTAGATTGACTGCCATAGGTGTGGAGCTAGTGTTTAAACCAGCCAAGTCAAATTTTTTAAGCATAGAGGAGATGTATTTGGACTGATTTATGAAAGTACCATTGTTAAACTGTTTAATATGAAGTCCGAGGAAAAATTGTAATTCCCCCATCATGCTCATCTCAAAATCAGCTTTCATAGCATCACAGAATTCAGAACACATATTTTTACAAGTAGCACCAAACACAATATCATCGACATAGATTTGAACCAGAAGAATGTCATTGGATTTTCGTTTAAATAAAAAGTGTTTTGTCAACTGAACCTTGATCAAAACCATGCTCACAAAGAAAGGATGTAAGCCTGTCATACCAAGCTCGAGGAGCTTGTTTTAGACCATACAGAGCTTTCTTTAACTTATACACATGGTCTGGAAACTGAGTATTAACAAACGCAGGTGGTTGAGAGACATACACTTCTTCCTGAATAATCCCATTTAAAAAGGCACTTTTCACGTCCATTTGATAGAGAGGAAATCCCATATGACTTGCATATGCACATAGCAAACAAATAGACTCTATCCTAGCAACTGGAGCAAAGGTTCCATCATAATCAACCCCTTCCTCCTGTGAATATCCTTGAGCCACTAGTCTGGCTTTATTTCGGATAATGACACCAATCTCATCAGATTTGTTTTGAAATATCCACTTAGTTCATATGACAGACTGATTTAGAGGGCGGGGAACAAGATCCCAAACATGTAATAATTCAAACTGAGCTAGTTCTTCAATCATGGCAAGTGACCATTCACCATCTTTAAGAGCTTCTATATAGTTCTTAGGTTCAAACTGAGATACATAAGCATATTGTCCAGGAATGTACTTACCTCTGGTTCGAAGACCATCATTTACATCTCCAATGATTTGCTCTGCTGGATGTCGCTTCTGGATGTGTGGAGGTGCTGATGTAGCTTTGATAGGAGGTTCAGTTACAGTACTTGGCCCTGCATCTTTTATATTAGAACTTTGCTCTCCTGTGTTATCCCTGCTTGATTCCGCTGCTATTTCGACATGTGTTCTCATTAATTCCAGCATGTCATAGACCTGTACTTCCTGCTCAGAATTCTTACATCCGGTAAGAGAATCATTAAATATTACATGAACAGATTCCTCTACCTTCTGAGTACGTTTATTGTAGACTCGAAAAGCTTCACCTTTTATGGAATATCCCAGAAATATAGCTTTATCTGACTTGGCATCGAACTTTCCGAGTCTATCTTTGGTATTCAAAACATAACAGGGACATCCAAAAGGATGCAGGTAAGAAAGATTAGGAGTTTTGTTTTTAAAAATCTCATAAGGAGTTTTATTCAAACCTTTTCTGATCAAAACACGATTTGCTATATGACAAGCTGTACTGACTGCCTCGGCCCAAAAGAATTTTGGAAGATTGTATTCGAGAAGCAAGGTTTTGGCGCACTCAATAAGTGTACGATTCTTTCTCTCAACAACTCCATTCTGTTCGGGTGTTCGAGGGGCAGAGAAAGTATTAACAATACCAATCTCATTGCATTTCGAAATCTTCAGAAACAAACTCTCCACCATTATCACTTTTGACGGTTTTGACTTTATCCGAGTACAAGGAGATAAAAGATTTAAATTTTGAGAGGGTATCATCCTTTTGAGCAAGAAAGTAAACCCAAGTATACCGAGAAAAATCATCAACCAAAACAAACACGTAGTTCTTTCCACCCAGGCTAGTGACATTACAAGGACCAAAAAGGTCCATGTGGATTAACTCAAACATTTCATGAGATGTAATGTCAGCCTTGGGTTTAAAGGATTTTTTAGTACGTTTACCACTAACACACGTTTCACAAAAGAAGTCAGTTTTATCTTTCAAAACAGGAACTCCTCTGACACGCTCTGATTTAGTTAGGCTAACCAGTTTAGGTAAGCTGATGTGTCCCATCTTACGATGCCACAAAAGTTCTGGTTGGAAGGAAGATATAAAACATAACTCATTAAAGGCACTAATATTACTTAGATCAATAACATACATGTTGTTTGATCGTTTACCCACAAACATGACCTTTTCATCTTTATTTCTTTTAACAACACATTGGTCAGTTTCAAATGTGACATGATACCCATTACTGCATAGTTGACTGATGGATAAGAGATTATGTTTTAACCCTTCCACCAGCAAAACATCTTTGAAAGTGGGATAGGGTTTTTCTCCTATAGTACCAGTTCTAATTACTTTACCACACCCATTATCACCAAACCAGACCTTTCCCCCACTGACTGGCTTTAAAGATGAGAATAGAAACTTCTTACCAGACATGTGGTGAGAACAACCACTGTCGAAATACCATTTGTGATCATTGTTCATGGAGGTAAGCTCCATTTCCTCTCCTTCAGATTCTGTCTTAGCCATGAAAGCTTCATCATCAGACTCAAGTTCTTCCTGTTCTGATTCAAAGTCACTCCATGTGGCCTTCATTGCCTTTTCTCTTGCCTTTAAGGTTTGAGGACAATGAGCTCTGATGTGTCCCACCTTGCCGCACTTGTAACATGCTTGAGGCTCCTTTTCCTGCTGACCTGTTTCAGATTTTCTGGTTTGCTGGGGTAGCAGCCTGACTTGAGAGAAGTTTTTAGTACGATCATAACTGTCATTTCTATTATCAATACGTTGCTTTTGTTCATTTTTTAATTTTTACATCCTGTGAAACCTCTTACTTACCAACGCAAACTCCTTATCAAAATCATTTTCCTGATCACTATCCTGATCATAATCTGAAGCAGTAGTTCTAAAAGCTAGATTTTTATTACGCTTATCATCTTCTTGACTAACCTTTCTCAACACATGTTCATGACTTAATAGAGATCCAGTCAATTCATCTATAGGTAAAGTGTTCAAATTCTTTGCTTCCTCTATCGCAGTACGCTTGGGAAGCCAATCTCTGGGCAAAGATCTAAGAATCTTTCTATTAAGATCCTTAGTTTGATAAATTTTTCCCAACCCTTTCAATTTATTTATTAAGACGGTAAACCTAGAGTACATTTCATGTATCCCTTCATTTTTATTCATGTTGAAAGCTTCATATTCATGAACTAAGAGATCAATCCAAGACTCCTTAATATTAGATGTACCTTCGTAAGTGCTTTCCAATGCTAACCAGATTTCTTGGGCAGTCGCACAGTGTTCCACTTGATCAGCCTCGTCTGGATTCATCGCCGACTATAGTACATGCATGGCTCGTTGATTTAATTGAGCGCTTTTCTTCTGCGCCGCCGACCAGATGTTCTGTTCATCATCGTTCATCTCGATCAGGCCATTTTGCACAACCAGCCAGAGCTCCTCAT